AAACTTCTTATATTAAGTGTATTTACCCTTAATTTGACTTGGTAAATGAGATAGTTTGACAATAGAATGAGTGAATTTTACTAATTAGATAAGGTGAACTTGAAATAAGACAATGCCATTGTGTTTTCTTATTTTAAGCGTAAATTATCTTGTTCCATTGAAAAAGTGTCTGTTTTACCTCCTCAGTTCAAGAACGAATACTTATTTTGAGAAAAAAAATGACTTATCTAGATTTCTATTTTTTCCAGTGAAGATCATGACACGACCACTGAGAAAGCGCCATTTATCCTTCTTCTCTTAGATCAGACGGGAAAACCCTGATTGAATAATTTCTGCTGAACGCAGGTGAAATGCACTGAAGTCTAAAGTTGAAAGACGAGGAAATAATTTTGATTTGATCCCGGTTCTTCTTCTCAGCAGCAATTAGATGAACGAGATGGGCAGTAGGAGTAGCACTACTTTAATCTTTTTTAAAAGACGCACTAAAAGAAACTGTTTTACTAATGAAATGTATACCATAGCAGGTATTGTTTTATACATTTTGACGGGTCAACAATTCATAATATTTACTTCTGTTTGTTCAATGTCTATGATTCAAGACAAAAAAACAAACAAAAAATCATCCCAAATAAGCACAAAAAGGAAGAACTTTAGAGAAAAGGCTTCAGATCGTTGGATCCACTGAAGTAAAGCAGATGATGCTGCTTTTACACCAGCAGAACCTTCCTTCTTGACCCGGTTCAGAGTCCATGATGCAGAACTGGAGTGCTTGGTTACATGTGACGCCTGTTCGGACTAGTTGTAGAATACATAGACATTAGTACGTAGACGCCTCATTGGACGCAGTGAGGCTGACGTACCTATAGGGTGGCCATCTTGGGTCGAACCACAATTCAGAAAGCTATTGTCAGAATGAATAGGAGATACCCACGATCTGATTTTAGTCACATGAAAGACAAGTCAAAGATAATATCATAATAATCTCTTACATGTCACAACCACTTGAAAGACCAAAACAAATTATACAATGACCATTCATTAAAATTACACAGATTTATTCAGATAAAATATTTTTTTACTGAAGTCTGAAATTGGATGACACATGAAGTTATAGATTTTGCGATTAATATAATAAACACATTTACTCACATTAATATTATACTAAAATATAATGTAATAAATAATTATTATATGTTTTTGTTATATAGTATTATAATGTATTTTTAAGGATTGTACTGTGATAACGAGTATTATGATCTCTAGTGGAAACTTTGTTGTGTTTTGTTTTTCATGTCTTTTATTACCTGCCAAATAATGATTTTTGCTCATTTATTGACCAGTAATTTTTTATTTTGCACATAAATCCTTAATTCCACTCTAACGAAAGTATATCATACTGAACTCACCCCCTCCAACAACGAAATAATCCAAAACAAAATACAAAATCTGACTAAATTTACTTGCCAAAGAACAAAATATTGTGTAATTATTGACCTGTAAAATGTCATTTATGCATGAAACTGCTTTATTTCCCTGTAAGGCATAATATTTAATATATCTTACTGAACTCACTGCCCCAAAGACTCAAATAATCCACAAAATAATGATAGCCAAACTATATGCACTACTTTATCTCGACTTTTGTTGGGTCAAGTGCTAACTATTCAATTACAGGTATTAACCACAAAGCTCTACACAAAGCAATGGTGTTGCAGTAAAGTGATTCTTCAAACGCACCTAGAGGTCATCAAAGGTCAACCAGACCCCAAACACACCCACCCGCCACCACCTTCTTCAAATGAGGCAAAGTGGGTGTCAATTAACTCAGCTCCGTTTTTTGCTGGTTTGTGCAGCAAAATCAGATGTTAACTGACCTTTGATGACCTCTATAAAATATTATTATCATTGAAATGATAGCAGTACAAATGAAAATTATTGCTATACAAAAATATAACATTTTTAAATTAATTTTAAATATGAAATATTTATGAAA